TGCACAGGATCTGCAACTAACTACCCTGTTTTATGGGTGCAGACCGGAGGCTGTATTTATGCCAGTGAGGCAAAATGTCTTGGCGCATATTATAATAGAGCGGAGCTGATTTAATTCAAGAACCGACATCACAGCTGTCAGGGCATTTCCATAAGCGGCCCTTAACAGAAGAAGAGAGACTGCGCACAGTATAGGAGAGCTACAGCTAGGGCCTCCACAGTTAATCTGAGTGGTCTCGGGGTATTGTTTTCGCTTTGAGTGCTAGAGGTCTCAGATTCAAGCCCCGGTGAGTGCTGAGATTTTTTCACGTGGACTACTAGTAATTTCCACATGGTGTCTGGGTAGTAGGATCAAAGGCCCTTGTGTTTTATTGCGCACATAAAAAAAAAAAAAAAAATTCCTTGGCAGTTGGAAATCCCGGGCAAAAAATTTGGAGTTAAAAATCTACTCAAATATTTCAGGATCACCGCCGGTGCTACAGAGCGCGTGCAATGTGCTGAGATTCTTTAGACTTAAGCTTGAGTTAGAAGTAGAACGGAGCACTTATGGGTCACATCCGTGTGCAATTCGTATGTTGCCACAGGAAAGATGCATGCTCTTAAAAAAAATTTTTGTACCTGCTGGTGCTTAACCATAGACTTGTAATGCTCTATAGCGCTATTTATAACTGAGCCTAGCTATTCAAAATGTATTATATTTTCAATTTCTTCAGCATTTATTGTTATTTTGCGAGGACAGCCAGTAGTGTCTGTGGACTTTTTTTTTTTAATCTTTAAATTCAAGAATGTTTGGATTTTCAATGTGTTTTTGGACAGACATGATTAAATTTCCTGTCTCTTTACATTGTTCAAAAAGATGTTTATGTCATCTGCATACCGAAGTTCCGGAATACGGTTGCCACCATAACTGTCACAAGTCTGGTCATTTTCGATATTTCTCATTATATTTTCTGCATATATATTTAGTAGGTAAGGTGAGATAATGCACCCCTACTTCACTGCCTTTAACACCTCGAACCAAAGCAATGTTTCACCAGCTGGTCTGATAGCTGCTTGTTGTTCGTGATAAAAATTTTAAATTAATTGCACCAAATCCGCTACAAACCTCATACTTTTCATAATACTACACAATTTGTGATGTTGGACGCAATCAGATAATCCATAATCAGTGATGCAAGCATGATGATCTGTTGTATTATCTACTTTTTTCAAAAATTGTTCTTATATTAAAGATGTGATCCCAAGTTCCTCTGTCTGAAATCCGCTTCCGTTTGTTGGTTTTGTTTTTTGGCCCCAATACTATGTTTCTTGGGATAATAATGTGGTAGTTTCCCCTTGCTTTCCACATCCACATGGATTTAGACTATATCCCCAGCCTTCAACCTTTTAGATTGTCAGAGCAAGTGAGTGACCTGTTCTGTGATGCTCCTGCTAACAGCAGAGGGCACCCTAGAGGTGTCCCCTTATCCTGGTAGATACTCGATTCCCATAGCTGAGTTGGCCACATTGCAGTTTGTTTACTATCGTCGCTGGGTAACAAATTCAGCACCTACCACACCAGAGTGACAAATGGACGGTTGGTTCATCGGACAGAAGTTTATCGGACAGACTCTGGCAGTTAGCAGTAGCTTGGGCTGACGCTGATGATATAACTCTGATGTCTGAAAAGAGGGAAAGGTGCTAATATAATTATCTTAGCCCTGTTTACCGTTTGCTTTGTTCTGCCACTGTATTGCATCACTTTATTTCAATATATGTCTCGTTTGAAATGTTTGTTGGTGTATTTGTATTTTGTTTTACCAGCAATGCGAATCTGAGGCAGAAACTGATAGACTTAACTAACAAAGGGTGGAAGGTCATTGTTCTGCACTGTTCACCTGACCTTATGCTGCGAGTGGTCACTGTGGCGTTGTCCACTCGCCTGTATAACTCTGGATACGCCTGGTTTCTCAGCGAGACGGCTTTTAGGTGGGTACATTTGTGACACTATACATTGTTCAGTGTTATTAATATTATATTTCTTATTTACACTTCTGTTTCTTTCTTCTTCTTCTTCTTCTTCTTCTTCTTCTTCTTCTTCTTCTTCTTCTTCTTCTTCTTCTTCTTCTTCTTCTTCTTCTTCTTCTTCTTCTTCTTCTTCTTCTTCTTCTCTTTGTCATTTGCCATTTTCTTTATGTGTCCAAAACATCGCAGTCTGTAAGAGTAATGATACAAGTATTTAGTGATGATATAGACAGATTATATATATATATACATATGTGTGTGTATGTGCGTGCATTTTGTGTGCGCGCACGCGTGTGTGTGAGTGTGTTTGTATGTGTTGAAATCAGCTAAACATCATTCAAGACTTATCGGTTTCAGGATTGTCAGTTTACAAAAACTGTTGGTAATGTGCTGGAGATGATTATTGCTGTTCAACGGCTAACGTTTCTGGAAACGGAAGAACTCCTGCCAGGTGGTTTGGGCAGTTACCGGCCAGGGAAAGAAAGTTGTTCAAATACAGCCACCTTTGTCTTTGATGTTTATGCAGGGTTCCAGTATAGACTGCAAATGGTAGTGACAGTACTTGATCTTGTACAGATATAGTCAGATATGATATTTTGATATCGGCACATATGGAGAAAGGGGTTTGTCTCTGGCTGATAGACTGAATAGCAATTGTCCTGCATTCACGTGTGGTTGTCCTACGCCTGGATACGTGGTCCTCAGAACTATGCAATATCAATCCAGGACTACCGCAGGTTACTGCAATTTCACCAGTGCTTTTCAATGTGTATACAAGCCAGATTGCAGAACTTGAAGCAAATGGGTTTAGAAGGATATTGACATTAGCATATGATGTTCTTGCATTCGGCAGGAGAGTGATAGGCAACAGACTGCTTAAGAGCTACAGGCAAATGTAGACAAAGTGATAGACGTGTGTGCAGAAATAAACGCTTTTTCAATCTAGATGACAATGTAAGAATGGTAAGAACTGATGTCCCAAGCCTCACAGTTATTGATAGAAATATTAAAACAGAAAGCAAATGAGGCAACTGGGTATCACTTGTCATAGAAGCCTGTCCTTTAGGAATCATGTGAAGACAATTGCAGCGAAATGCCAAAAAGATCCAATGCTCTTAAGATTATGTCAGCATTGGACATGCAACAAAGAAGGCTGTTCACAATGTTCCAGCATACTATCCTCTCGGTGATAAATTACGGACTTGGAATGATTACAGCATCGGGAAGTCAGGTGATGAATCTTAAAGGCATACCGAATGAAGCCATGGCGGTTTTTCTGGGATATACAAAGGATAACCCGGTAGAATATATGCGTTATTTAATTGCACTGCTGATATTACATATAGGTTCAAACTTATACAAGCAATGTCATGTCTCAGAGTAGCCACAGACAAAAAGCACCGCCTGTATGAAGCCTTGGATAGGGCTAAGGGTCATAGTCTAAATAGAGGAATGTCTTGGGCTGTGCGAGCTGAAGACACAATTAGATATGTGTGCACAATTAGGTTAAAAGGTTAGTTGCGTATCCTTTACAGGACGTTGCAGAACCAACCCCAGCAGCCCCTGGCTATTGTGTGGTTTCTCTAGGCAAATTTATATCCAGTAGTTTGCCATTGCTTTTCTGGAAGGTCGGCCCACTGATACCACTGTCGAAACCAACGCATTGATAATGGTTCGCAGCTGGGATCGAACCCGACACCCCGGCATTACGAAGCGTTCGCATCGACTTAGCCTCAGAGCCGAAGCACAATTATACATGTGTGATAATATTGCACAAGGAGATGAGCGGGTCATAGTGTCCGAACAACAATTGGGCTCGTGAAGTGGCTAGCGGACGCTGCTGCAGAATAAGACGTTTGAAAAGAAAATAATCCTTACAATTCCCTCCCAGATGATGTGATTATCTTTACCTGCCGTTCTCAACCTGTGGATAGCGACCAATTTGGGTATCGAATGACCCTTTCACATGGGTCGTCTTAGACCATCGGGAAACACATATTCGCTGAAGTTATGAAGTGGCAACAAAAATACTTTTATGGTTGGGGGTCACAATAATATGAGGAACTGTATTAAAGGGTTGCTTCATAAGAAAGATATAGAGACCACTGACCTATAGAGACGGCTTTGTGTTGAGAGGCAGACGAAGTGCACGGGAGTTCATAACAAAAACAAATGGACCTGACTAAGTGCATCAAAGCCTGGCTAATGACACAGCAACATCTAGTTTGGAAATAGACTTGGAGGCGGTCCTTGCAGCCTTCCGCTGGCTTTAGAACCAGCTGTACCCACATGTCGAGACTGTAACTGACTCACAGAGAATATTGAAAAAAAAGTGAAGACAGGTATGGTCTGTGCAGAGTGGCAAGCATCGCCTTAGAGGTGCCAGGTGGTTGGCGTCCCTTGGACATTTTCTCCAGGAAATGCCGGTGTTTTGGGAAACAAACAGATATGATAAAATGGCTGGTTCTGAGCCGGTTGGTGGTGGATTGGTGCAGGATAAGCTAGATGTTGTTAGGGTTCTTTGGTTTTGAGAGAAAAGTGCGCAATTATATCATTACGGTCTGAGGAGAATGGTGCTGCAGGTAGTTACCATGGGATCTGGCTGACGTTGATCACTCACCGGAAAGGCGAGAGGGATATACAGACAAACTGTTACTGGTACCATCAGAATTGGAACTCTGCGCTTGCTGTTGAAAATGTAGACGGCGCGCTTATGGGAATGTCCCGGGTGTAGTAGCGTAGATTCTTAATTCAACATTTAACAGCATTATAATAACAGTTGAAAATCCCAACAACCATTCTTGGTGAACCTGTATAGTGTAAATGATGACCATAATATAGTGAAAAATGGTTTTTGCGGCCTTGAATACTAAACTAAACATATTTAACAAATTGTTATTCTTTATTTCTTGCAGCAGAGATAAACATTTAATTGCACATCTCCCAGAGGGTCTCCTGGCCATTGACAGCTTCTGGCTAGGTGGGATTCCTCAGGTTATGATGAAAGGACTGGAGCAGATCGTTTCAGCTAGTGCCTGTGTTCTGGGAACTAAGTCCCCTAACAGCTGTAAACAAGTGCCTTATGAAGTCTATGATGATGCCCGAAGTCGAATCACATGGGGAATCGACGAGGTCTTAAACAATAACTTCACCAGTGGTGGAGTCACCAATGTGAATCTGAGATATATGACTGACTTTCCGTATGATTTTACTAGGTGAGTGTTCTACTCTTTCAAGTTTTTTTTTTTTTTTTTTTTATCAGTGAATTAGGTACCGTCTCCGTAATGAAGGGAGGTTGGCCCTTTCGAATGAAACTTGACGAGTGACAGTATCACTTATGTGAATCTGAGATAAATCATTGAGTCTTCCTGTGAGTTTACAAAGTGAATGTTCTCCTTTTTGAAAAGTCTTTCACTCGACCAATCAGGTTCCGTCTCCACAATCAAGGTTGGCTGAACCTATGGAATGTGACTTGATAAGTGGAATCACAAACAACAGTCTCATTCTTGATCTTGTCTTCCCACTTGTATCCCTGTCTGCCCTCTGCTTACTGTCGTTAAACTGTCACTCTAGTACTGTTTTAGCAGACGGCTGTGTCTTCTTATGTGGTCGAAGTACTAACTTGTATGACTTTTTTTCCTTTTGCTAACCCACTCTCTCTCTCTCTCTCTCTCTCTCTCTCTCTCTCTCTCTCTCTCTCTCTCTCTCTCTCTCTCTCTCTCTCTATTTGTCACTCTTTTTTTTGACTCACTCTTATTCTCTCTCACGCTCTCACTCTGTCTCATTCTCTCTCTCACTCTCTTTAACCCCCCCCCCCCCCCACCCCAGTCAAGAAGTTCTGTATTTGATTTGTTTTGTTTCACTTTATTTTTGTTGACATATACATAGTAAAAGAGGTGTCGAAGAACACGTTTTCTGCTCTCTATGACCACTGTTCGTAAAGGTTAAACCTCTCTACATCTCTTCCGGGTCATCCTCGAAACAGGTGCCCAGCCGAGGTTATGGCCGACGTTAATAATATCGACCTTTCCTTTAAAGTCCAGGTGCATCTGCCTGAGAGGCAAGGAACTAACGGCCCGTAAAGAACTGAGCCAAAGCTGTAAACAGATTTGCACGCAAAGCTCAGCTCTGAAATGGACCAACAACTAGACTTTCAGCCCGAGTTTCTAGAGTGTTAACGCGAAGGAGAAGAAGAGCTACTTGACAATGGAAACATATTTTAGATGTAGATTTTCGTCTGCAGGTTCCAACCACAAATCTCCAAGCACGACAAAAGAAAAGTTGGATGTCATTCTATTTGACCTAATGTCCTGTTCTCTTTACTCATTTCTATGTTTCCCCTTTACTTTTCAAATTTTGAAGGATTAACACCTTAGTGGCCCATAGAACCACTATTCGGATGATAAACGAAAAGGAGGAAATACCATATAGCACTGTTATATTAGAGCAATGATTCCCAAACTGTGCGCTGTGGCTCCCCGGGGAGCCGCGACCTCTTTACAGGGGCGTCGCGAACTATTCGAAGATAGATTTTTTTATCTCTTACATACGAATAGTCATACTTTTAATTAGGTTAGGGCGCCGTGGAAAACTTTAAACTAAAAAAAAGGCGCCGCGACTAAGAAAAGTTTGGAAACCCTGTATTAGAGTGTTACCACGGTTACAAAGTAACTTTTAGTTCAGTGTGGGTGTGCGACGAAAAGATGAATCTTAATTATAATTTAAAACTACAAGCCTTTAATTATTTTTTTTTTCCATTGCCTGAATGCGCATATTGTTTAAAAAAAATGTGTGAAAACCTCATGTGCATTTTACCTATACGTTGCTGCGATAGCGTTGTGGCTAGATGTTCGCTTGTCGACCCGAAATCTAGAGTTCAAATCCACATGAAGACGGCTTTTGTTTTTAACATACCGTTGACCCCAGATCGACCAATTCTAAAATGATTACAGGTAATGTCATGAGAAGTAAAGGCGGCCGGTGTGATGATGATCTATTTAATATCCGTCTAGCCGTATATGCCCAATATGCCTAATTTTGTGGAAAAGGGTCTATATTATATCAATACTTAATTTACTAATGTCATGGGAGGTAAGGACGGCGGCATGATTTTGACCACATCAGCCATCGAGACCTGATGGTCTAAAAAGCAAATATTCTCACACAGTAGGCATGAAACGCATAAAACATGAAAAGGGTCTTCTGCATTTTACATTTTTTTATGAAGTGGGCTGAGTGGTCTCGATGCATGGTGTCCGCCTCGAGTGCTGGAGGTCCCGGGTTCAAGCCACGGGGAAGTTTGTCTATGATTTTTTCACGTTGACTTCCCCCTGGTCTCGTGGTAGTAAAATCGGACGCCCGTGTATAATGTTGCGCACGTAAAAAAAATATTTTTGCAGTTGGAAATCAAAAAGTATAACCTAACCTAAAGTATTTCAGGATCCTTGCTCGTGCTACGGAGTTCGTGCACTGCGTTGAAATTATTCGGACTCAGGCTTGAGTTAGAAGTAGAACGGAGCACTTACGGGTTACTATCCTTGTGCTACGATGCTGATCCGTTGTATCAACTATAAAACCTTAAAACATTTTCTTGTGTCAATCCTCAGGTGTCTGCGCATGTTACAAACATTTTGTCAAGATGTCCCTGTTGTGAACAATAATGGCACGCACGATAATTCGTCTGATCAAGACCCGACTGACAGTTATATCAAGGAAACAAACACAGATTTATCAACTGACGTACCCTTAAGAAACACAGGTCCGGCATTCTATCTTCTAAACACAGTGGATGATGGGAGAGGGGACCGGATATGGGGTAAAGTTGGATACATAACTGCCAGCGGGGAACGAGACCTAAAGACGGTCTTGTGGCCAGGTAAATCACTGACACGCAGATCTCTCGAATAAAATGAACACACTTTTTTTTTAAATAATGTTTATTGGCTATCCTCCGACTTACGGTCGGTAAAGATGCCGGCCGCAAAATATCGTTTCGAGCCACAGTCACTTGTCAATTGCGCCGGCGATTACCGCCACCGCCAGGTGTCCCGCACACCGCTCACGCGGCGTGGAATGGGGCTAAACTAGATGGCTAGGACCCACGAGCAGCAGCCACGGTGTGCTCGTGACCGCTAGGGCGCAATTGGAAAGGATATTTTGCGGCCGCCATCTTTACAGACCGTTAGTCGGAGGATAGCCATGTTTTTTTTTTTGTGTGGATAACAAAATGCTGTTGGTTGTTTTGCATCACCATTATCAAGTGCCTTGCCAGCTGACATAAGCGTTCATGCATTTCCACAGATCTCGGGCTTTGGTGTTCTGGGTTTCTTCCACTGATGATACTCCTCCATTCGTGTTTTGCATTGAGGGGGTAAATAATTAGGGGAATGTGAATGAGGTTGGCAGAAAAATGATTGCAAAATGGATGCGAGCTGAGCGTCCTAGCAGGTAACGATAAAGTCGGGAGATGTGAACCAGCGTCATTGCACGCGGTTATAAACCATAAGTGATCTGCCACCAGTACGGACAGCTGATAAGAAACTGTCCGCCATGTCGCCGTCCGCACGCAACTCCGCAGCTATAGCGAAGTTCCTCCATTTACCCCAGTGTGTTGACTCTGTCACCCATTACCTAAAGGCTGGGTGAACCCCAGGAACAGCCCGGTTTCGAACACCGGCTGTGGGCTGCAACAAGTCACAGCTGGATTTGAAATCGTGTCTCTTATCGACTGTGCTGACGCGGCCCTTCGTGCTAGCAGAAGCACAGTTAATATATCTAATAGTAGCAATGGTCGTCAATTCTCTGGCTCAATTTGTACCAGTCACACTCGCCATAGCCTTGGACTGTGAGTCCCAAGGTTTTTCATAGCACAATTTAATACCATTGTCTGGAAAGACAGAAAAGTGCAAACATATATTGTTCTTCCATCATCAGCATTGACCTGTTGTGTCATTATATGGCACAAATGGCTAGCAGTCCGCTTCTTCACAGTTCTATCCTGTGCTGTCCTTCGATGTCATGCATAAAATCCAGTCCAATCCTTTGGACGTTCGTTTTAGAGTCGCTTGCCACAGTCCTTAGTAATTCTACCTGGTCTCTGGGTAGTTAGATCAGACGCCCGTGTGTATTGCTGTGTAACCAAAAAGCCATTCGCAGTTGGAAATCTAAAAGGGTAGCCTAACGGCGCTGCGCGGGCAAAATTTGGAGTTAAAAATCAACCCAAAGTATTTCAGGATCCTCGGCGTTGCTACAGAGCCTGTGCACTGTACTGAGCTTCCTCTGACTCAGATCTGAGTTAGAAGAAAAACGGAGCACTTATGGGTTACTACCCGTGAGCCATGATGTTGATCCGTTGTTCAAACCTCAAACCTCTTCAGTCCTTTTATTTCAAATTTTAGTGTGTTTGGGTGATTCTCTGCTCTTTTCTTCTCGGGATATGTCCAAAAAAAGTGCCGTCTTCGTTGTCCTACAACTGTTGTTACCAGTGGTTGTCCATATATTTCTCTGACTTCTTCTCCCTATCGTGAATTCTTCCTTGGTATTAGATTAAATTAGGATAGTAATTTACAGGCTGATATTCTCTCAAATATTATGGTTACCCACATGTTAGTCATCTGAAGACAAAACTAAATACCCAGACTAAGTGGTTTACCTTGAGATCTCTTGGGATCGTCGCTGAAGCTATATTCTTGCTTTGTTCGACACTTTTCGTGTGTGGCATGTCGCATTGCGAAGAAAGCTGAGCAATGTGGGATAAATCCGGATGCAATGAAGTCAATGCTTTCGGCCATAAACCGTTGACATGAATGTTAGCATTGATGAGTGACCCCGAGAGCAGTCCATCATGCTCTCGGCCATAAACCGTTGACATGAATGTTAGCATCGAAAAGTGACCGCGTGAGCAGTCCAGGAAGTATCACAGTATTCCTGCTGGACAAAATGGTCCAGGTTGTTCAGGCAGTAGTTTTGTGTAATAGTAACTGAATGCCAATGGCAACCGACACTTTAACTATAATGCATTTGCGCTTAAACCCAAAGGTATACATTGATATATCTGATATTCAAAAAGGAGGATGAAAAGAAACATCCCAAGTACATGTACTGTAAACAAAGAACTCGGAGAAAAACACGCTCATAATTAAAGGTGTCAAATAACAAAAGAAACAATCACCAACAACTTGTAATTTGGTTTCCAAAAATCACTGTGATGTTCGGATGATATCTGCAACTTTTTGCTTTGGTTTCATGTTTACACGGTATGACAGAGATCACTCTCCACATCAAGCTAGCACTGCTGTTTTGTTTTCACGACTGTTCAAGCTAAAACCCTGATTATTAAAAGTACAAATGAACTCAGTTTCAAAGTTGCTTGATACCCCCACGAAACTTCCTCACGCCTCTCCCGTCTTTCAGGGAACCCCCCCCCCCCCCCCCTTTTTCAGTTTGGAGACCACTGGGCTAGACGATTGCCATATAAACCTTTGTTTTTAGGCTCGGATCTATACATGAAAGGAACTTTAAGAGCGATCTAGAGCTTTCAACTGAACTAAAATGGATACCCGGAAATAAATGAAATTTAGTTGGTCCCGTAGGTGGATATATCATCCCTTAAATGCTAATTCAGTGTAAAGGAACTTTTTTTTAACATCTTCAAGCGTTTGGGCATAAATTAGACCTATATTGAATAGACCAATCGGCACTGGGTGGATGATGCGGTCTACATATCTGGTACAATGTAAGACTGGGGGAGCTGATGTGAGCCAAAATCAATTTTGAAAAAAAAAAAAAAAAATCTGGCTCTGTTTTGGTCCGCAAGCGAGGGTCTAATCGTTATACCACGGCGGCTCCCGTTGAATGTAACTGATTAAGAGAAATACGGATCTAGCACCTCGGGTCCAATGCGCTAAATAACATTACACATATTCTTTATCTTTTCTTTTACATGGGATTCTGATTGTGCGTCCTCCAAATCTATCGTATATTCTCTTCATGTCGCTGTTGACACATAAGGCATTCACGAGTGATCTCCCTTGCTGCCGGTCTGCTGCTTTTCTGCCCATGGTATCCCATGTCAGTTTACATTCCTTCATTTCCCGTTTTATTGTCCTTCTCCGGGTTTATTTAGGTCGCCCATGTCTCCTTTTCCCATCTGCTGTCCACCGGAGAGCTGTTTTTGCCAGTGTCACAAACATGTCCAAGCCATCTCCATCGTCTTAGTTTGATAACATTTGCCAGTGATGCACATTCTGTTTTTCTCCGCAGTTCTTCATTTATGATCTTGTTTGGCCTAAATATATTCGTAGAATTCTTCTGAAACATTTTTTTTTGAAAAGTCCTAAATTCATTTGTAATCCCTGCTGTCAATTTCCAACATTCACTGTTGTATAAAAGAATTCCTAAAACGTTGCTCTTGTATATTCTAAGTTTTGTCCTTAAATAAAATCCCTTTGACTTCCACATATTGTTAAGCATGGCACATGCTTGATTTACTTTGTTTATTCTTGGTGTTACATTCTTTTCAGAATCTCCATATGTCCTCCAAATGATGAACTGTTAAAGAATGTATACTTTTTTTTCTATACGCAACTAACTAAGAACCGTCGTAAAGGTTATCACCCATTTGAATCCACTAATATAAAATAGCATAATTAATTCAAAAAATATGTTTTCAAAGCATTGTCGAATCTTATTGATTGTATGATAGCCAGATATCCGTAAATCACAAATGACAAAAACATCAAATGCGACATTAAACAAAAAAATGTACAACTAACTAGAACCCCAGCAAAGGTTATTACACACCTAAATCCACAGTGTTTGAGTCATTGCAAAACTCTTCTGTGTGTGCAGTTACCTTCATTTTCGTCCCAGCGCAATCAGGCGTTGTTGGTAAGGGAAGAGCTTATGGACTGGCAGGTGCTGCATTATTTGATGATGGCGGCCCATGGATCACGCAGACATTGTCATTGCCCTTAGCGAGATAGGACGTTCAAGGATTTTAGAAGCAACGCGTTCACAAAACTGCTAAGAATACGAGAATTGCGAGTAAAGATAGACAGGGAAAAGCATGAGAAGCACACCGAACGAGTCTTGTTAACCAACATAGGTCTGGCACTATTAACCGCGCGTCGCTGATGAATATGTTGAGAGGGGAATCTGAGCGCCTGTGGATGTGTCCGTAGTGCTGTGAAGATAATCTAACTCATAACTCACCTAAATCCACAAATATGACATATTAGCATAATTAATAGAAAACATGTTTTTAAGCATTTGTAAGTATTATAAATGTCTGACAGCCAAATATCAGTAAAGCAACATGATAAAAACAGTGCAGGGTCTGCTATTTACTGTACAGTTCTGCGTTCTTATGTCGGTTTGGGATTTGTTACGGTCGAAACTTATTTTTGCTGTTTTTGTATTGCAGACCTTGTTGTTCTTTTTTTTTTTTTTTTGTTCCAGGACACAATATCTATGGTCCATCGTCAAACGCTGTCAAAACATACAGGGTTGTCACCAGAGCTGCGGAACCGTTTGTCTTTATCAGTCGACAAGTCTCCCGGAAGGAGGACTGTTTTATAGAAGTGCCTTGTTTGAGGGTACGTTTATTATTATGTCTGCTATTGTGACTATATTCTTTGGTTATGTGACAAGAAGGAGAAAACTGGAGTACATCGCGACGGTAGGAAAGTTGGAAGATAAGAGAAGCAGAGGAAGTCGGAGAGAAAAGATGTTGGACAGTTTTACATCATGGCATGGAAGATCATCTGTGTCAAAGTTGATTGAAAGTAAGCAAGACAGAAGGTTGTGGATAGACATGACTACCAATGCCACAGGGCATGGACTTTAAGAAGATTGTGACTTTTATTTCTATTACTTTAGTCCTATTTCAAACCAGGGGACCTCAACCC